TCACCTCCTTGCCCCAAGTTGCTTCCAGCCCTACTTTTCTATGGTTTTATCATTATAGTTTGATCTTAAACCAAAGGCCAGGAAGAAAGGATACTGACAAAGTTGTGTTTTATCAAGTGAGAGACACTGTGTTATAAGAACTTGTGTTGTCATTTTAGGAACTGGGATTTCCAAGCTCTGCTCCTGGAGTTGCTGCAGAATCTGGGGAACAGTGTGGCCCAGTTTATTTGCCAGTAGGGCCTTGCAACAGGAGGATATTGATAGGCTCCAGGGAATTCTATCCAGCTCTCCTTACTGAAGGAACTGTCATCAAGAGATGGCTGGAATCTTTTGGGAAAACTAAAAGGGATATCAGTGTTACACCGAAAAGTACATTCTATTTTAAAGTTGCTGCAAAATAATCATTGTGTGTGTGTGTGATGGGCTAGCTGGCAGTGACTTAGCCCAGGGGTTTTGAAAGGGTAAAAGATGATTGGAGGATTTGGGATTCCCTTTCCTCACCGATCAGGCCTCAGAGACTCACCCTTCATGTCCCCTGATTGGCCCCTTGGGTCACCTGGAGGGGGATAAAAGGGGCAGCACAGTTGACTCAGGAGAGACCAGCAAGGGGCCACAAGGAAGGAGCTTCAAAGAGCTGGCAAGAGCTGGGCCAGTGGGGTGGGAGCAGTTGCCCCAGAAGCACCTGAAGGAGAGGGACCTGCAGGCAGCAGGTGAACCCTCAATAGCACGGCGTGCAGCCGGCAGGAGAGGCTCCCGCTAGGCTCCAGGATCCTCTACAAGAGGCTGCAGCCAGCAGGAGAGGCTCCCCAGCTCCAGCAAGGATCTGAACAATGACCTGAGAGGTTCCCAGCTCTGCTTCCAGCTTCCAATAAGAGGCCAGGGCTCCTGGAAGGCCAAGACCCCTAGTCACTTGGCACAGTACCAGCACTGGTAGCTGTGTGGTAGTTTCTGCCTACCATGTGGGAGATCCAAGTTCTAGCTGGGGTGACTTGGGGTGAGTGAAGTAACAGGGAGAAATGCTTGTTGCAGTGGAAAGGGGTCATTGTGTTTTCCTCCTCCAGGTACCTAGACCCTATATTCCTTATTATTTGACATTTTGTATTTTGTGCCTTTTATATTTCACCAACCAGTATTGTTTGTTCTGCTGTTTGTGTTTTATATTTTGTTAACCCTGTCTTTTGTCAACTGGATGAATATGTCTATGATTGTTAGCGCCTAACTTTTGTTGAATCCTGCCCCCTCGGGGTGTTGTAGTGCCCCCTGTACCCCTGGTTTATACTGGTTATGTTCCCACTACTGTTCTCTCATTAAAAGGTATATGGTTAAGTCTCCATTGGCGGTCTGGCTCTGCTCTATAGGGGGAAGCAAGTCCCTACACCTCCCACAGCGCTTGTACACCTGCTTTGATCCCTTCAATTGGAGACGGGGTACCTCTTGGAGTACCACCCAGGTTACATGTGATTATTTGGACTTATCCTGCTTCAAAAGACAGGGTGACAGGGTTCAGTTATAGAAGTTCAAGGTAAGAAAGAAACTTGTGGATCTTTGTGATGCTGCACTTGATTGAGTGTATACCACCTGCTACAAGAATTCCAAGCCAGGGAGTATCACTAGAACTTTAGATGGCTGGTAGATAATGACAAAGAAGCCAGTCATCATGTGACCATGACTTTCTCTCATCTGTATCCATCTCAGAAAACTCAAAAAGCAGTAGAGAAAGGTGAAATGACTAATCAGTTTGTGAAATCCAGAAGAGACAGCAAAGACACGGATGACTGCATAGGACTATACTGTGTTGACTTATACTTGGTTCTTTTCTTAAAAAGAAGGGATGAAAAACCTTTTTTTTTAAACAGTTAAAACTTAAATTCTGAAGGAGTTAATGGCTCTCACCTAGGAAATGTTCCAGCTCACCAGTGTGCCAAGTTTTGAATGCCTTTCCTATAGAATGCACATTACCCCCAGTGAAGGAGCTGTCTTTTCTGAGATGAAATGCAGTTGCTTAATTAACAGCATGCTTCACATAGTAGCAAGCTGAAAAAGAAGATGGCACATCTAAATGGAAGTTTCTCACTGGGTAAGTTTAGTCAAAACTGAGCGACCTAAACTGGAATGTTTTGTAAAATTTGATTCTGACTAACATACCCTAGCCAGTGATATATTTCCATTTAGATACATCATCCTCATCTGCAAGACATAGGGGCTAATCACGTCATAAGTTGTGCCGTGGAAATTTTAAGCACTAATGGTCTATCAATATTTTGCCACATCTATCGCAGTGGTATCTGAACACCTGATGCTTGATTTAAATCTCATCAGCATGAAATCTCCCTAGACCTTGACTAACAGTCTTCTAAATCATCATTGACCACAATGCCTAATTTTTGTCTAGATTCCTCCAAAATGTTGATCTTGCTCAACCCTTCTTACTTTATGAGTTGATAAGAGCCTTTAGACTTAAAAACCAAGCCTTAGACTACATAAAATTACTACTGAGATCAAATGCAATAAAAATAAGTTTCCAATAAAAACTGACATGCAATATCCCTTATTGTAGCAGCACTAGCAGGTGCCACTACAGCAAGAGAAAAAAAGCCTTTTATTAAAGAATATATGCTGTGGTACAAGACTATCTAGTAAGCATGATACCCTGCTTCATTGAATATGTTCTCCTTGGAAATCAAGTAAAGGTGCCTCATAGTTTTTGATCTTCTAAAACTACATTTTACTTCTGATTCATGCTGACTGACTATAACCCTACAACAGTTATTGACCATTAATTAGCAATGAAGTGCATAGTGTCCTAGGAATTAAAATAGCAAAGGCAGAAAAATGAACACAAGTCTCTCTCCCCTCTCATAGAAAATAACCAGCAAATACATTATCATAAGTGAAAAATGCTGCAACGTGAAAATCTCAAAATGAGGTTTTAAATAAATGTTGCTACTGATGCCCAGCTGTTAATACACATAAATGAGATGTCACCTATTTAAAAGAATTAGATTACAAGAACACACACAAACATATTTTTGCAGCAACTATAGCTGCCACAGAGAACTTAGTAGAGAGAATCTTTTGAAAGGAGAGGGAAGGAGAGGAGAAGAGAGGAGAAGAGGAAAGAAATAAGATTGAAGATAATTAAATAAAACCATTGGTGGTTCTTTTCTTTCAGACTCTGCATATTGCATCTGATCCAAAAACTTTGGGGCCTTTTTTCCCATAGCCTTGCTGATTGCAGGCATTCCTTCATATGTATATTTGTATCGCAGGAGTACAAAATAGATGCTAAAGGCTACCAAATCAGAATGACAGTCCTTCCTCACCTACTTGGTGGAGGTGTAAATGACTAGACAAGGTGTAAGGCAGTGGGTACATCCTTCATTAAAAAAAAGAGACATGGAAAAAATACCATTAGCCATGACAGAGAAAGGTTGGCTGTTCAACAGTCTAGTCCAATTCCAACTAAAGGCAATGAATCAGGCCCTGACCAACCAAAATAAAAACAAAAATTACATGCCATAATTATACACACCTGCTTAACTTTGTTCATATACAACAACAAAAAAGATATTCAGACTAACAAGGCAGCCAGACTGTGAAGGGCATATACTGGATATGGTATAGAAGTAGATATTAGCAGTATTAAAAAATCTTGGTAAATTTGTGTTTATTAATTTTTTGTAGTTTATGCAAAATAAAATATTTTAGACATGGAGATAATTACTCAGAACTCTTCTTTCTTCCCCAGCTTAGCCTGATTTCCAGAAGACCAGTAACAAATGAAGCAAGACAGAGATGACTAGATCATTTGTCTTGGAGGTCTCAAGTTGCATCTAACCAAAGGTTTTGACAGGTCATTACAAATTTTTTTAAGTCCTCTATTGTAAGGCTGTGTAGGTGGCAAAGAAAAATTTAACTACCTCAACCACTACACCTGCAAAGTCTCACACAGGACGTGTGTATGGCTCTGTGACAAAACTGTGAGCACATCAACTCGCAGCAACCCCATGGTAGCAAAACCCCTTTTCTGCCAGGCTTCTACCACCCCCTAGCAGCTGCCAGAAAAGTATATGCAGAGGTGCCCACTCTGACAGCTTTTGTAGCCCCTATAACAGCAGCTAGCATTCAGGGTGCCCTCCACGCTACCAGAGTGGAACTGCACAGGTGCCTACTTGCTCTGTCAGGTTCTCTGTGGCAGCTGCTATCTGCCAGCAGGTGAATAATGTAGACAAGCCCTGTTCTGTCTTGGTGGCTCATTCAAGCACCCCGTTATGAGATCTTAATTTTTTTAATTTCCAGCCAAATTTTATGTTTTAGGTGGAGGGAGAGCATGCAAGACAACATGGTGAGGAGACAAATACTAAAGTCAGTGGTTCTCAACGTTGTTAGACTTGAGGAAAATGCCAGCTCTTAGTTTTCACTCATTTTTTGACTGCAGAAAAATAATAGATTTCAAGGCACCCTGGGGTGATAGGACACTTGCGGTGACCAGCACTGATCTTGGTCTTTGGAGGTTTAGTTTTAGCTGGTTTCTTAATAGGAAGGATTAGACTTCTTTAGAGAGTCTTGTTCCAGCCGCTGCATTTCAAGCCCTTATAATAATGTAAGAATTGCCATTTAGTGGGTCCAACCATAGATCCAACTTGCCCAGTTCCTTGTCACCTGGAGGCAGAGAGAAAAGGCTGAAGGGCAGAGTCATCTAGGTACAGCCAGGGTTTTCCCCCTTCCTGTTCCTCTCCCACTGCAGCCTCCAGCATTTAAGGTAGTGCTTCCCAAACTTTTCCTCAGCATGACCCCTCACAGCCTCCCAGATGTTGCCCATCTGGGGTCCCAACCCAGCTGGGGAACCACTGACTTAAGGTCTACTAGGTTGTGGTTCACAGGCTAACCCCAGGATCAGCAGTACTGATGCTCCAAGGTGCCCAAACCCTTTTTATATCTGGCTAAACCGTGAGCCTCAGGAGCTAGACCCGCAGCTGCCGGCGGGCGGACAAGCCCCTCCTTTCCTTCGCTCACTGCCGGCAACATTTACTGGGCGGCTCGTTCCGTCCATGCGAGGGACGCGATAACGAACCCCGAGGCCCCTTCTCTTGCTACCGGGCGCTCCGGGACCCTTGCCCACATCCCTGCGAACGCCAGCCCTTCCCCTGCTCTGGGGAAGGGCCCTTCCCATCTGACTGCGGCGCGGGTCACAGGGGAGGAGCCAGCGGCTGCGCCTCGCCCCGCCCCCACAAGAGCAGGGGCGGTGACGTCAGCGGTCACATGACGGGACAACAGCTGCTTCTCGACGCGCCCGCCCCCGCGCGGGGGGAGGAGGGACACATCCGGGACTTCCGCCCGGAGCAGCTGCTGCGATCCCCGCCCCCGCGCGGCCAAAGCGGGGGTGGGCGCCTCCCCAGGCGCCAGGGGCTTAGCGCAGCCGCGCGGGGCATCCCAGCAGGGCTCCCCTCCCTCCGGCCAGCCTGTGCCGGGGCGTCCCAGGCGTCCCAAGCGGGGGCGTTCAGCCCCGCCAGCCATAGCCAATCGATCCTCATTCTTAGCCCCAGCCGCGCCTGCGCGCCGCGCTCTGGGGGGTGGCCCAGGCCTGTCGGTGCTGCCCGGCTCGGCTCGGATTCGTCGGGTCTGGCGCCGCGCGCCCGCTTCAAACCGTCGCCGCGGCCTATGAGTTGGGCGGGTTCGGCGCTGCGGCGCCTGCTGCTGCTCCTGCCGTCTCTGTCCCTGCCCCTAGTGGCGGCGCCCACAGGTAAAAAGCTGGGGGCTGCCCCCTGCAGCGTCCCCGGGGTGAGCGCGCGGCTGGGCCCGGTACTTCCCCGGGGAGGTACCGCCTGGGAAGCTCTAGTTACCGCATTTTCTGAGAACTCGCACACTGGAAACAACGGTGCCAAGAAATCGTCTTCTTTTCTTGTCATTGCTCGTAACTCCCCAGTGAGGAGCGGGACCCGGCAGCTGGTTTCCGAGCGAGGAGCCTGAGGGCTTCTCCTGTCTCTCTTTCCGCGTCCCGGAGGACTGCGGGCTCATCCTCTGCTCCGCCGGAAACGTTCACGTCCCTCTCTCAAATCTCTCTTCTGTCTAGGAAATGCAGTTGGTAGCCCACTTGCTCGGCCCCCTTTGGGACATGGCTCTGGCTCTCGAGGGACCTCGGGTAGTGACAGGATGGATCCACATTGGGTTCTCACAGGGCGACCCACGGCCCTTGTTTTGCAGCGGCAATGATTGATAGCGGCGGCCAGCGTCAGGGAGATAAGGAAATGGGGTTCATCCTCCTCCTCCTCCTCAACTTTGGCATGGCATGCAAAGGATACTAGCTTTTTCTTGGTTTTTATGGATCCGGCAGAATACAGATCCAGCCACTTATTGTGCCAGAGGCAGGGTTTACAGAGAAACCCTATGCTTACACTTTTATCAGTTAAAAGGAGAAAAAAACCCTGTCAAAACAGTTTCAGAGAGAGTCTCTGCCAGACAGTTTTGTATAGAATGATGCTTTCTGTTGCTTATTGTGGAGTTCACACACACATACAAGGGGGAAGTGATCGATCAAGGGAAAGAAAGAGTGAACATGTCTTTAAACAACGTGCTGGTAAATACAAGAACTATACAAAGCAAAAAAATTTTTCCCCCTCATCTTTGAGTTATAATAGGTAAAACCTTTGCAGATAGCATTCTTTCCTGCCCATGGCAGGGGGTCCGACTTGATGATCTGCTCAGGTCCCCTCTGACCCTACCAACTATGAAACTATGAGATAAAAGGGTTACTTTTAAGATGACAGTATCTTTTCAGTAGAGGTGCACTGATGCATCAGTCCGAAATCAGATCGGCACGGATATAAAGAAAATTGTCTATATTGGAAATCGGCCTGATGTGATAATTTGGCCGATAAATGGCCTGTGCACGTGTGCAGCTGTAGGGCAGCACGTAGGCAGTGAGGAGCAGAGCCGGCAGCATGGAGAGCTGCATGCAGCTGGTAAGTCTAGTGTCTCCCCCCTCCCCTCCTACCACAGCAGATTTACCAGCTATACACAGCTGTATTGGAAATCAGATCAGTGTTGGCTGATATGCCTCCTTAAAAATTGGCTATCAGTATTGGCCCCAAAAATATCTATCAGTGTACCCCTACTTTTCAGCTCTCATTTTAGTCTGGTTCAAGATAGCTGAGGGAAGTGTATATCTCTTAGTTTAAAAGGACAATGAAAACAGGCTGTTCTAAGTCTCAGGTTCCAGTCATGAGACATTACTAATTTGTCTGCTCCTTGCATTGGAGGTCCCTGGTGTTGGGTCTGCCTCTGAACCCTTCAGCTGATCCTAAGTCTGGCAGGTCTCTGGTTGCTTGTTTCCAGAGACAGATGGTCCCTTCCCTAAGAACTTGTTAACTTCGCAGGAAAGATAAATTATGAGCAGATTGTTCAGACTGAGGTACAACTCTGCTCAGAGAATGGCATCTCCTTGCCTCACTCTTTGTTTTTATGTAGGTGCCTGCCCATTAACTCAGAGCTGTCCAACTGGCGGCCCCTGGGCTCTTACCCAGCCCCTAATCCCCCACCCCATCACTGCAGCTGCAACAGCAGCCAGAGTCTTTGTGCTCCTCTGGCTGCCACTTCCTGCCCTTGCCTCAAGGGATGGGGCAGCATTATGCAACCTAGGGAGCCCAGGGTGATTCACAGTATATGGACAGCTAGTGACCATTCCCTCCAAAACGTAAGCTTTCTACTCATTATCACTTCAGGTGTTGGTCTCTCTCTGTGGAGGAGCAGTAAGTTAGCAAGAAAGAGCTCAGGCAATGCATAGGGAGGGCATGTGCCCCCCTGAGATTGACTGCTGCTGGCTTCTTTAGGTGGTCCCCACTCGCCGCTGCTGACACCACCGCTGGCTTCTGCAGATGGTCTCTGCTTGCCACTGACTACAAATGGTGCCCCCCACCCGAGTCTCGGGAGGCACTAGTTGTTCATGGAAGAGCTTGTCATCTTGTCATCCAATATTTTGTCATCCAGATGTCAAGCTATTTGTGCTGTTGCTTTGATGAGAGTGATGATAAGCATCTGCATGGGGATTGCTACTTAGACCATAGGCTGTGTTTATCCCTGGCCTGAAGATGTTCAGCTTCCATAAGCTTCAATGTGGGTGAGACTTAACTGGTCAGAAACTTTTCTGCACAAGAAAGCTGCTTCAGTTTAACCCAACTGATTTAGTTAAATCAGGGCTGTCCAACTAATGGACCCTAAGGATTAACATTGCAGCTCCCAGGCTCTCACTCAGCAGCCACTGCCTCTAGTACAGACTACAGTACATCTTCCAGCTTCTGCTTCCTGCCTCTGCTCCTGGAGGTGGGCCGAGCAGTTAGGAAGGTGTTGCACATGCAGCAGGGCAGAGTGGGGCTGTTTTTGCCCCATACATTTTTCAGGCACGTTTCTATTCTGAGGAATGCCTCTAATCCTGAAAGTGGTATAGAGTCTAAAAACTTCCATGTAATAAGACAGTGGGAGTGACTGATTAGCAGTCCAGGTGACAGTGAAAATTTGTCTAAAGACATCTAACTGCCCTCGCTACAAAGTATTACCGCTAAATTTATGTTACTGTTCAGAATATATGGGAAAAACAATGACAATAAATTATCTGAGAGAGTATATTTTTATTAATACACTGTTTAAAAATTACAGAATTATGGTGTTTCTCTGCTGAGAATAGTTTGTGGCATTATGACTATGACTTCTGCCTTCACCAGCAGTGTTGTACATTAGAAGACTTGAATTTGTAAGCCTGTTTACCTCTTTAGACTTGTACAGTCAAATTTACTGTTAGGATAAGCACGGATTTCAATGGAAGTGCACCCATTTAGCCAGCAGTGAATTTGGCCCACATTTTATACCAAAATAGTAGCAGCCTTCCCCCCCACCCAAATTTTCAAAAGTGACTTAGAAGCCAAAATCTCAAATAAAAATTACTTTAGAAAACTATACATAGTGTAATGTGTTTGGCTTCATGCAATTTGCGTTTGGTTCTCAGAATATTAAATAGTAGTTTAAGTGGAAACAATGCATTATTATGTTTTGCCATAGACTCAGTTTAACACTATTTTTCCTCTGTAGATGAAAACTGTATCTATTTGAAGGAAACAGAAATGCTCCACAAAGTAAATGCACACTGTTACTGTTACATGCAAAATAGAAGAATGGATTTAAAATATATTTGGTCAACTATTCAGGTAAGATTCCACTTTCTTGATTGTGCTTCAGATTTGTAATACATTTCATACTGGATTTTTTTCCAGTAAAGAATATGATCTAGATACTGTATTACAGGTGCCAAGGCTTGCATAGGTGATAGAAGCATCTTACAGTGGTGTATGACACTCATATTTGGCATGGCTGATTTGATTATTTGAGGTTTCTTACTTGCTTTATTGAGGAGACAGAAACAACTCCTCAAACCTTGGGCATACTGTATATTAGATGGTGACTATTTTAATGGTAGTGCAAGAAGGTTGGTGCGCCAACTCCCCATGGAGCCCCTCAGCCAGTCGTCTTAATACAAACAATAATCTGTGCCCCAAACAAGCAGGTGGTTAAAGCAAAACTTTAACATTTTTTGAAGCAGCAAGGAAGGCTCCTGTAGTTTGGGCCCCTTCTTAATACCAAGCTCCTTTGGGTTCAGTGCTGCCTCCTGGCCACAAACTGTTCTTTCCCAGCTTGAGTTCCTTGCTTTTTCTACCCTTGGGGTTTTAACTTTTGGCTAATCATGCACACCTTGGCTCCTACCCCCTGGCTGCCTCCCTTAATGGGCCAGGCTGCCCTGTTACAGGTAGGAAAAAGATCAAGGATACATAATATCATCTGTGTAACTGAAGTAGTCAGGGGGCAATTTAAAAAAATGTACATGTTGAGATCTGAGCTGCAAAGCACAAGAAAGACATCCCAAATTCCATTGAAAACAGTGGTAACTTTGGGCGCACATTTTTTTTCCCTGTGAGGTCATTTGAGGATCCACTCTCTGTCCCTACTTCTTCAGACTGTCCTTTACTTCTTCAGAGAGACGGACTCCCTGTATGGGGGCAACAAACAATTTAATTTCACCTCTGCTGGGGGAATGGGACTTCCTTCTCCAGGTACATGGAACACATATGTTTATTTTTAGATATGAATAAGTGGAGGCCCTGATACTATCTTTCAGCAACTGGGAGAAAATATTCTGGGAATAAACGGTTAAATGAGGGTGGCTAAGATTTCCCACAGCAAAGTACTAGCCATACACACTTCTTGTGGCCAGATTTGTCATTAAAGGTGCCCAGACTTAGTAGCTCACAATCTAAGCATCAAGAAGATTTTCCATATGAGAAGGTGGACAAGATTTCTTACAGATCAGCCCTTGAAGAAAAGAGGGCTGGTATTTTTATTCCTGCTTCTTTCTCCCCTTCTTCTCTGTTCTGATAGCTTCTATTTTCCTTCTCTGTCTCCTCTAATATTCATATAGCATTACTATCCATGAGAATGTACAAGAGTAGCAAGTTCAACCTGCTGTAGCCCATTTGGAAAGTGAGTATGATTTTCTGGCAAATAAACTGTGGGTAGATAGATGTCAGTGATGAGTTAACAATACGTATTATGAAGACTTGATCCTTTGGTTGGATCCTTACACTGACATAGAGACCATTTAACCTCATTGAGCTCTTGGTGATGTCAACTCTAAAGACCAAACTGAGGAAGACTAAACAACTGATTTAAGGGGCTGGCAGTTGCCTTCCTATTCTGTAGCCCCATACTTTGTTATTTCTCCCTGCCTTATCTATGAACACCATGTGTGTCTTTCAAAACAGATATATGGTTCTGAGTTCCTACTGTGCATGTTTTGCATTTTTTGCAGGTGAAAATTAACAGCACAGAAATGTTCCAGTTTGTGCCTATTTCAGAGGAAAGCAATTGTCAAAATTCAGAAAATGTTTTTGCATTTGCCAAGTGTGTTGTTCAGAGCTTCTGGCAATCAGAGACATTTAAAGAAACCAACATAAACATAAACCAGTATGGAGAAAAAATGTGTTTCAGAATTCAGCCTCTCAAGAACACATCCTATGCTGTGAGTGTAGAACGAAATAGTAAGTAGAGTGATGCTTTTCAGTCATCCTATGAATGGACTAGATCATGATGTCAGTGCCATCTGAATCCTACATTCTGAGTAGCAAGTTATTCAAAGAGAACAGACTTTTCTGGTAATAGTTACACAATTAAAACTCCTTGGATAAATTGGCCTAAATGTCTAACTTTTGTTTTTTCAGTGGTGGATAAGAAGCTTTTCTTGTTGTTTGTAGCTGGTGTTTTTCTGTTCCATTTTGCAAACACTTTGAGTAGGTGAGTATTCGTTTCCTTATCTTGGTATTATTAGGGTCACTGCATCCTGGGTTAGTTGCTATCCATCAGCAAAGATCATAAACATTTTTTTAATTAAATAAGAAAATTGTCAGTTTAAAATCTATAACAGTGGTTCTTTGTGGCCCTATTATACCTATCTACAGCAGGGCCATTGCAGGGAAATGCTGTGGGACCTACATGGTTATTTCTGGACATGGCTTCTAGCACGTGGGGGAAGACACAGGACTGCACCTCAGATAATCCCTACAAAGATGTGGGCAGAAGCATCCTCCTCCCCTTCTGTAGACCAGAAAAATTGACTGAATGCCTGGGTTTATTGCATTAAGAAAGATTACAAAAGTCTCATTCCGTGGTGCAGAAGGAGGAACTGTTTGTGATGAAGTTGTTGAGGGCTGTCTAACTACTGTCACCTTTATGCTACCCTATGCACATGGGTGCACCTCAGAGACAGTTTAGTGTATGGGCTTTGTACAACATGTAAGGGAAGATGTCTGAAGTTATTTTGTCTCCTGGCACAGTGCTTGTCATCATAGAATCAGTTAATTTTTTACTCAACTTACTTTGATGCACTGTGCCACTTTTACAATTTTAACATTTATTGATGATCTTCCAGTCACTGTTGGGCTAAATTTTGCCTAGATTTCAAATTTTGTAAGAACAAGCCTATACAATCTAAAAGCAGTAGGTGCTTTTTCTAAGGTTGATGCAATTAGGTCAAAATTGTTTTGCACTCCAAAAATTACAACAGAGTGGACAAGGAAATTAAATGAATAGAAACACAATAAACCAGAATTAAACTGGGGAGGTGTGTTTTGGGCTCACGATTGTGAGAAATGCAATAAGTAAATATTGGGAGTAATAAAACGTCAATGAAGTTATTTCTGATTCTCACAGCTGATGGGCTTTTTTAACTGGGGCTAAAATCTTAGCTGCACTTGTTTATTCTCAACAGGGGGAAGGCTGGATTCTATACAACCATCTCAATTCTCCAAATTTGAACGATCTGGGACCTCAAATGGCCCTTAGGGCAATACTAATTAATCCATCTATCCCAATCCAAACTGTACCCTTTCCCATCCCCATTCTATTCTTAGATGATGACAGGGAGCTGGCTGTGCCACCCAGAAAGCTTCCTTGCTATGGGAATCACTCCACAAGAGCTGTTCCCAGTAGAATCATAATCTCTAGTCTAGGATTCTGATTAATAGCTGAAATAAAATTAGTGTTGTATTTACAAATCAAAATGCTTCCAAACCAGCATCTTCCTCTTGCTGTTCCTCTAACAGAAGTGCTGTGTTTTATTACTCGGCTGGAGTGGTACTGGGTATCCTTGCTACACTAGTCTTTCTCCTGTTAACATTGAAAAGATTTATTCCAAAGGTAAGTGTGTCATTTGAAGAACAATAAAACACCTGAAAAATGTAGGGCCAGATTCTGCTGTTGTACTACTTTTATAATAGAGGAACTCTGCTTACTGGGGAGGGAAGGAATGTTGCATCTATGTAAAACCAAGATAAGTGAGAGCTGAATCGCACACAATTCACCCCCAAAGGCCAAAGCCAACAGATAAGTTTGCTGACATACAGAGAATGTTTATTCTGAAACCTGAGTATTTTTCTCATATAATAGCTAAACTTATTTATGAGACTACATATCAGTCAATATGAAAGTATAGCTTTTCCTCTGTAGGAGCAAATTTACCTCACCACTGCACTTATGTATTTCAGATGCTCTGGCTTCCACATATCTGTCTCTCATATGATGAGGATATTACTTACTAACATACTGAGTTGGGATGCAACATGACAGCACCTCCAAATGGTGATCTGTTTCAGGAAGTTGATGAAAACAATTTAACTGTTTTGACTGAAGACTTCAGAGTGCCATGCAGTGGGTAGGGGGAAAGATTGAATGTGTGTGTCAGATAGTGATCCTTTTGCAGAGGAGAACTGTATCTTCTTGTATGTTTGCAAAGTCTAAAGCTCATTTTGACCCCAGTACTGATCGAGATATTTGATTGCTGTGATCATATAAGTAATAACTAACTGGCTAATTTGTGTACCACATTCTTTCACTCCTAGCACAGCACCTTTTGGATTTTAATGAGTGGATGCTGGATGTCCTCTCTCTATTTTATTTACTATTTGCAAGAGGGAATGAAGTGGCTGTGGTCTGAATATAGAATCTATCTACTAGGTAAGAGAACTGCATAGCAGACAGATTAATAGTTATAATAAACGTAAAACATTGAAAACAATTGATATTTTCAGCTCACTCATCAATTTTGGTTTTTTTATCATGAATATGTGTAGGTGGATGCTGCAGGCTCCTAATCTATTCAAATAAGCTTTTATTCATATTAGATACTTATATAAAGAGTTTGATGTATTGGCATTAGGAAGAGAGCAGATTTTGCCCATATTTTTTCTTCAGTCATTTCCAAGTTCACGCCCACTATGAAAGCACAGGGTGGTTATGGTGACAGACAGTAGCTGTAATTTCCCCTCTGGTGGGAGCTCTGGGGTAGGTGGTGTGCAGACTGGAAAGGGAGTGTTGTGGCCAAAAGGGCTAGAGAGCTCACTGATTCATCATATGCCCTACCAGTGCTCACTGATTCATCATATGCCCTACCAATGCTCACATGCAGCCGTTTGTAGCAGTTCAAGGCAATACACTAATCACTGCATCCACTTTTTTCCTACAGTTTACATATCAGGCCTATAGAGCAGCTGTTGGCAGCCTTTTAAGGCTGCAGGCCAAACTGACCCAGTTAGGGTCAGAGGGGCCACTAGGACTCAGCCACTGCTGCCACTTTCTCCCCCTGTGGCTGCACAAGTAGAGCACCTACAGCTAGTGTTTTTTTCCCAGAGCAGCATGGGAAAGCAACTGCTGCTGAAGCCCCCTGCTGGTGAATGTCCCCAAAGCCCCATGTCTGTGGGCCAGATCTGGCCTGCAGACTAGGTTGCTGCCCCCTGTTGTAGAACATTCCCAAGTATCCAGCAGGTGGCAGGGGGTGCAGCAGCAGGCCATGCTAGGTAGCAGCCATGATCTTTGTCAACCCACCCTTAAAGTTAACTTTGCGTTAATTTTCTGTCCTCTGACACTTTTTCTGCTTTCACAGGATACTTTTTTACTGTTGGCTTTATCAGCTTTGCTGTTTGCTACAAGCATGGACCACTCACCAATGAACGAAGCATAACCCTGTTGACATGGACTTTACAAATGATAGCCTTCCTCTTGATTTATTTTAGTGTCACTATCCCTGAGGTTGCATATGCAATAATAGCTGTCATCCTCTGCTCCAAAGGCCTGCATTATCCTGTTGGTGTGATCTGTTATGTGGGCAGGTTAGTATCTATTTTATGAACATGCAAGTCATTGTATCATGTTAATATTTAAAAGGATAATAATAAAACACACACTGAGGGTTCTTAATTACTAATCCAAATCATATTCCTTACTTAATAGAAAGTGACATGAGAGCAGAGGCTGAAAATCCTGAGGCATAAGAATTAAATAATGTTTGAGGCAGGTGTTTCAAGCACAGGTCCTTCTATGGAGAACTGTGACTATATCTTTAAGTACAAATGTAATACCTTCTCTAGCACATGGTAACCAGTAGCTGTCTTGTCTCCTTGACATTGAAAACATCATGGCATTTTGAGGTGTAACAGAACTTGCACTTTTAGCAATAGTTCCTTGCAGATGTCTATAGGACAGAGCAGTTAGCCTAAGATCACGTGAAATAGGGATAGTAAAACACTGACAGTGTTCTAGGTCAGTTCTGTCAAGAGGAAAGTCCAGGTGTTGAATACCTGGCTCCACTGAAATCAACAGGAGTTTTGATATTGGTTTCAGTTTAGCCAGGGTCTTCAGTTCTACTCTTACTGGGCCCCAGAACAAAAATAAGCTCAGTATGAGCAGACTTTCATGTTTATATGGAGCCCCATTGATATACCCAGGCTCTGTGCTGGAGCTGGTATCCACCCTCACAGAGGCCTTAATTGATAATCCTAAGGCCTTCCTGCATTGCAGAGTGACAACAAGCTGTGGTTTTCATCCCTAAAAGCAGCCCCAACTGTTTATACTGCCTTTTATCTCCAGTAAGAGAGCATTCTATCTAAAGGCAGTATGCAGTACTCTTAGTTCCTCAACTTTGCAATATACACCTTCTGCAAAACATCGGTGAACCAAGGAACTGACAGAAGGGGCAGAGGCTGAAACAGTCATTGCACCAAAACAAAGCCACTTTAAAATACAAGTTGCATATGTATCTGTTGCTCACAGACTTAGTTCTCTCTGAGATCATTAGAACTTACCCCAATTTAAGCCAAAGCTGTATTTAGCCAAAGATACCCAGCCTGCAGCCAGAGATAGCTTGAGGATTTTTGTAAGGTGACTCCCATATTTAGACTGCAATTTTGGTAACTGACTGCTACTGCCAAGCCAAGAGCACGAAGAGTGCATTAAAATAACATTAAGGGTCTGTATATACCAGTGGTTCTCAACCTTGTTAAACACAAGACACTCCTCAGAAAATGCAAGCTCTTCATTTTCACTTGGTTTTTACTATAACAGATAAACCCTTCTTTTGCAAAAAAACTCAGAAAGACCAAAACAGGTAAGAATATATTTAATACTGTGGATTCCAGTTTGAAATCCCTGGGTTTATCTTAAGAATCATGGCAGCACCCTTGAAACAAACTTAGGGCACCCCTGTTGAGAATCACTGGTGTACATTGTTGGTGCACTACTTGTGCAGCTGCTGCTGAAAAATAAGCCCTGCCTATCCATCCCACTCTGCATGGTCCAAACTCAGAACTCAGGTGGTGAAGCATGCTGGGATCATCTGCAGCAGCTCTCCCAGTGTTGGAAACCAATGGTTTAAGTGGCCTCACTGGGCTGTTTCTGGGTTTGGAGAAAGTTGGTAGGAGTGTTTGAGGGTGGCATGGTTGGAGCATCCCAGCTGGTGCATTCTATCTCCACAGCATAAACATACCCTAATAATCTCAGGCAGGTTCTAGTGTATTCTGAAACAACAGCTTCTCATTTTTGGCTGTTTAAATTTGCAAAACAATGAACCCAAACCTCTAGACTGAACTGACAAATGATTGCAGAGCAGGGGTATCAAACTCATCAGGCCCTGCTGGCTCAGTGAGTGGTACAAGGCCTGCCTGAAAGCCAGATCTGACCCACAGACCAGCCTTGTGCACCATATGTACTGTACAGCACCAGAGGCAGTCTAGGGGACACCACACCCATCATGTGGGTCTAGTCTATGACCCACAGACAGTACCATGGGCTGGATGATAGGGCTCTGTAGGCCATGTCTTTGACACCACTGTTGTAGAAGAAGCAAAGTGAATAAGTGCTGTTGGTATTGTTAATAATCAAATCTGTTACTAAGATTTAAGAGCTTATTCTACAGATTTACTAGGACCTTTGCCTGTGACCTTAATTGAATCAAGATTTAGTCATGACAAAAAGAACCAAAAAAGAGCTTCAATCCGTTCCCCTTTTCCAGGGAAAAAAGAAGGAATGCAGGTGGCTAGAGCAGATGCTTTTATATAGAGTTCAGTCTTATGGCATCCAGCCCTGGCTTATCTTACCTCCAAAGTCATCACAACATTAAAAAGTGGAAGGCAGTTGGGAGAAAGCAAAAGTGTAGTATATTTTCTACTAGATTTTAAAATGTATTATACATTGCCATGCAGCATCTAAAATAGCACAGCAGATGATAAACATTCTGGTTTCTGACTACTCAAATCTTGTCTCAAAATTGCACAATCAAAATAAGTTATCAAGTAAGCAATGCAGTGATTCCTAGAAGATCTGGAAAGCATTGTTTACCTGGAAGATTCCCTAAAGTATGCATGCCTATTTTGTGTGTTCAAACTGCTAGATCAGCAGCTGTCTAGTTAGTGGACTTGACCTGTGGGCACACACATGCAGCCATGCACATACAACATACTTCATCCAAAACTCACTTCTACTTAATTCCATATTTTTAAATCGGGCCCAGAGGTGAAAGGCAAATGTGTTGGGCCATGGGAATGAAAATCAGAATCAATATCCTGTACTTTTGAACTATATATTTATCTTGACTTCATAAGAATGAGGGAAAATAATGTTTTAGTGGTGGATGCCAGAAAGAGAATTAAAGATTTGGGAGGGGGTGGAAGGAAGTAATGCATTCGTAATATATAAGCAATACTCATGACAAGTTTGGAAGTATTGACTGTATTCTTTTGTAGGAAAATCAAGAATCTTTTAAAATCAAGAAAGTCAGTGTTTCGGTATCTTACTGAAGAAGAATACAGGGAACAAGGGGAAACAGAGACTGTGAAAGCCTTGGAGGAGCTACGCTTGCTCTGCAGGGATCCAGATTTCCCATCCTGGCTAGCAGTGTCCAAGCTCCACTCCCCTCATAAGTAGGAAAGCATCTCATCTTTCTTACAATTAAATGCAATTTACACGTACTGTCATATGAATGATCCAAATACTTCTGACAGCATTGTAATGTATAAGCATGATCTTCAAAGCCTTTAGAAACATCATTGACTTCCTGTATACAAATAGTTGTTTAATTTCTAGAACTTGCAGGCACTTCTAACTTTATGCTGCCTCAGCGTCCTCCGGACATTACATCAACATTAATGTAATGTAGATGCGTGCCCCACTGCTTTGCAGAATACCAGCATTGCTTCAGTTCTGTGCCTGATGCAGCACCACACAAAAGCTTGCAAAAGGATTCTTGTAGCTGTCTCACCAGGGCCTATAATGAAATTCTTGGGTGTGGGTCTTAGGGACCTTACTTGCTATACCCAGGGTTTGAAGTGTCAGTCAGTTTTAGCCTTGGAGTGTTGTAGAGGTAGCATCCTCTGCTCCCAGGGAACAAAATAAATGAAGTAGCTGTACCTGGAACAGCTCAGCAGAGACACCTATGACAAGTAAAGATGAACTGTAAAGAGAATGGGGCTGGCAGCCAAAGATTGAGGGCGATAAGATTCATTAGAACTGCAGCCTGCAAAACCAAAAGAAGAATATTTTTAATATTAGAAACAGGTTCTGTGCATTACCCAGCCACCTGAAATGCCCTTCCTAACTTTAAGAGGCGCCATCTACTTAGAATTAATCAGTTAAAACCAAATTTAAACTAGTTTGAGTAATACCTACCTTTGACACTTCCCCAAACCAGCTTTACACATCTGTTATCTGACTTGCCCAATGTTGCTGAGACTCACCTCACCATAAAGGGAAAAGTATGAGGCTGTATCCAAATACTGTCAGCTGCCCAAAGTAAATGAGTTGAAAAATATACCAATTCACATCTCCTCTGTGTCTCTATGAAGCCCTCTACATATCTTAGTTAATCCTTAGAAAGAACCTTGGGAAGTAGAGATAGGGAAACTGAGCCCAGAGGAGGGCATGTGACATAAGCTCTCAAAAGCTAGTGACAGTGGAAACAAGTCAGATGTTCCTTACTCAGTCAGTCACAAAGCCCCACTCCCACTTGGAGAACAAATTATTGGAGGCACGGAAGGAAAACAGCTAAGTCAAGTGACAAATGCTTTGTGCTAACTGTTGCCTTTTGCTGTTTGTCCTTTGTCATGTGAGATTTCCTACCTCAGACTTAGTGCAACATCCCTCATGCTGGACTCCTGCTGTAAATATCATCAATACATACACAGGCAGGGATGAGGTTTAGACTTTGTTCTCTGCACTCACAGGTACTTTGTTTCCTTCCTGCCTGACAACTTCTCTTTAAATCTGGCAGGTTTGCAAACTTTGTTCTGGGATCTCCCCACGTGTCACCTGCAGAATTGAAGGCACATGATGAGCAGTATGGTCTTGGGGGGTCTTTCTTGGAACAGCAACTCTTCAGTACCAGGACAGAGTCAGAGCAGGACCACTCAGCTACTCCCACAGAGGACGAGGATGAAATTCAGGAGCAAAACAGAAGTGAAAATGTTGCATTTTCCTACAATGATGAATTATTCTGAACCACTTGGAAAATCTGCTGCAAGAGAGGATAATTAAATTCAAGGCGGTCTAGACTGAGTGCTTGCTCCTGGGAAGCTCTGCTTCTTACTGAACAGTAGGGGGCAACCAAGATTCTTTGACAGTCATTACTGAGGCCGTTACTACACTTATAAGCAAAAGCAATGCTTATGTTTTTGCTATATTGTTAACTTTAGTCTGCATATTCTCTGAACAGGTGCAACACAGGCTGCAGCAATGCAGACACTTCACTGCAGTGCCTTGACTCCCCTGAAGAGATTACCCCTGGAGGAGGCAATCTTTTTGGACAACAGATCATCTTAGCATGTGGCCCCTCTGCTGAGAACAGGACAAAAGAAGAAATTATTAGTAATGCACTTTTACAAAGTACCCTATGTGCTAACGAATTCACTTGAAATCCATTCTAGATGTACTGATAAAAAATATTTTTTCACATACTTTTCTGCTAATGAAGTATGGAGATTAAAAGCAAAATTAGAGAGTGGCAGCTTCATAAGCCTTTTCTCACTGTTCTGACCAGGCCTGATCTCTCCCTGGCTTCATCTGCCCTTCCATGCAACTTAAAAGCTCTTCTTTCTTTTCAAGAGCCCTGCACTTCTTGGCTCCTCCCACCTTCCCTGCTTTCATCACTCCATTTCCTTTCTCTTTTAACCAAGCTACACACCTGAGTCCCATGCCTCTGTTTCCTTTCCCAGACACATGCAACCTCTTTCATGCAGCCCAGTAATGCTGAGCACTCTGGCTGACCCAGGTTCTTTCTGTAAGAGCTGCAAAGGATAAAAGTTACACAGTACTTTTAACTATTCCTTTTGGTCTCTGTGTTCCTGGCTTCTCACAGAGTATCTCTCTCATACATAGCATATGCTATTTTAAGCTGCTCTAACAAGGATGGGTGGGGGAGACGCTAGAGCCACACAAAGCACTCACAGATGGTGTTGGTATTGCAGCAGTACACCTGGGTTACAAAGCTCATTTCATGAGTTGGGAGAAACAATGTTCCAAATAGAACAAGCAGGGAAGAAATGCTTGGGGGATCCTCCTGGAGAACCCATCCCTCCTTATTTTTTAGATTCATAGATGTTAGGGTCAGAAGGGACCTCAATAGATCTTCGAGTCCGACCCCCTGCATAGGCAGGATCTCATAGGAAATACTAAATTTGCCCTACCAAAAGGCCAAAGACTGCCATGCTCACAACCCCTATTGGACAAAAATTCTGTATAGCAGCAGTACCTATTTTTCTGTTGAAATTACGTGTAGTGACATACAACACCCCATATTACTCTTGTAAGGGTCTACCTATGATTTATGGTTTACCTACAGTGTGTGATATTTTCCTTAACAGTTGCACGTTTGATCCAGATTACACTGGATTTAACCTAACATGGTGAAAATGCAGCACATTTTGCCCTTGAAAGAAATGTGCAAGATGCTAGCAACATTTTTACCATCATGCTAGATTTTCACATGCCCGATAGAAGGGAAGTATCACCTCCTTGGTTCTGTTCGCCATGCATCTGCCGATTCACGATAAAGTGCCATTAGCTTTTCTGATGACTTCGTCACACTGCCGACTCATGTTCATCTTGGAGTCCACTAGGACTCCAAGATCCCTTTCTGCTTCCGTGCCACCAAGCAGGTCATTTCCTAGGCAGTAGGTATGCTGGACATTTTTCCTCCCTAGGTGCAGCACTTTGCATTTCTCCTTGTTGAATTGCATTCTGTTGTTTTCTGCCCATTTGTCCAACCTATCCAGGTCTGCTTGTAGTTGTTCTCTGTCCTCCAGTGTGTCCACTTCTCCCCACAGTTTTGTGTCATCCGCAAACTTGGACAGAGTACACTTCACTCCCTCGTCCAAGTTGCTGATGAAGACATTGAAGAGTATCGATCCAAGCTTGCTCCAGGTTTACTGCTGGAAGTGTGACTCTGGCCCTGGCAACAAAGTGAATGTTAGCATTCACACTACAAAGCAATGGGGTGGGGGTATTTTACTTTTCACCTTTCCCTCCATAGTTGGGGTCTTCCTCTTCAGACTGTCCTTTACCTCTCACTGTTCAGGTACCTGATGCTCTTCCCATTAACTTTTCCTTGCTGTCTCATGGAAGCGGGACCATCACTTCAAACCCTTATACCAGTATCCCATTCCTCCAGTTTCTAAAAGGTGTTTATCCCAAAACAGTCTGCTTTGTATCTGAAGACATAAAGACCCTGTGGACTTACTCCAAAGGAAGGTTACCCTATTTACAGCCACTAGTGAATGTGCTCACATAAATTTTTTTAAGATACCAGTCTCCATTTGCTGTAAGGATTATGCAGTATTAAGTTCACAACCTCTCTGGTTTATATTTTAAATGTGCGTGTGCACACACACACACACTCTCTCATAAACCGGCAGCACCTAGTGGGGTATTTGACATTAAAATTTGCCTCAGTAACTAATCATAAATTTTGAAATGTTCAAAATTATTTTCAGTAAAACAGATAAACAATAAATGGAAACCTTATAAGAAAACATAAAAAAAAAAATCACTAACATTACACACACATGCATGTATGCACATAATTACATTGCTCCTCAGTGGCAAATAAGCTGAAAACCAGCTTCACCATCCCTGAGAACTTATTAACTGAATCTATAAGAAGGGGGAAATGACAAAAAACCCAGCTGGCTCCTTGACACCTCCACTATTTTAGGTGTTAACACTGTTCTTGATACTCGCACCTGGAACTGGCTTACGCAGGGTCTGCTGCCCTCTTATTGTAGTAATTCAACCCCAGCACAAATTGGAACCATCTCCTCTGAAGCCTCACGACAGATCCAACATGCTTATGTTAAATTTCATTTTCCTATCAGGTGCTCAAAGCAGGACATCCATTCCTCTGGTTGAGAGAAAAGTTATTAAAATTCCGCTCAACCTTTCAGGTCCTGGGACACTGGACAGATTTACCCAGCAAGAGCCAGAGCTCACTCAGCCCTGATAAGTCCGTGTTTTCAAGAGGACAGTCCATTTCTATCAGCCAGACCCTACCCCTCTTCAGAGCGTTTTGTCAGAATACCACATACATTGTTGGACCATTTCCTGACCCACCAGACCTCCTTTATTACTTTTCTAAGGCAGTGGTTCAATCTGGTCACATATTCAAGTTTTTCATCTAGCATCTCAAAACTTGAGAAAAAATGCAGAAGAGCACACACCAACTGCAGATGCTTCCTCAGCCTGACGAAGGCCTTTTAAACCTGAATGCTTGCTAAGAAAATTTTTTCCAACTATTTAAGTTGATCTAATAAAATATATCAGATTCACCCAAAGAACCTTGTCTGCCTATGTGCCCAATACCTTTTCACTAACTGCAGAACCATATACCCTCTAGTTGTGGTAGCAGAGGGTTCCAGATAGAAAGCTACATTCAGAGCTGGTGGAAAATGATTCTCCATTAGCCTACTACTTCTCCACTAAGTCTAGGGTTAGTACTACTAAAAAGTTGGAAGTTTATAAGAGGCTCTATAAGGTTCTTTGGGTGAATCTGATATCTCTTATTAGACCAACAAAGAGTTGGAAAACAATTATTAAGCAAGCTTTTGGGTTCAAAAGTTTGTAAGAAGCATAGCTGTACATGTTTTACATGTTCAATTCTCTGCACCTCAGGAGGGATAGGAACAGCAGGAGTAGAGTGAACAAGTGTGACTCACCTGGCCTCAAAGCCTGTTGCAGGGAAAACTACTAGGGGTGTTCCTGGCACTCGGTTTCTACCAGGACCCAAGATTCTGGAAACAGCAGATGTAACATAGCTAGCATTAGTATCTGTATCTTTACAATTGTCACCATGAAGCATAACACCATAATGTGCTAAAAAAACCCAAATACCTAGGCCCAGGTACTTCTCTGGAGAATGGCTGACAGACATCTCTCACAGAGCACATCATTTCTATAAGCCTGGCCTGTCATGATTGTAGGGGACCCCAGGAGGTACTGGCACTTTATTTTAAAATGGTTAAACAGAAAACTTCTCATGAAGAGAAGCCTAGCACCTAATTAAAAACTGACATGTAACTTTTGATCTGGAATATAATCATAATGCAAATGAGAGGGGAAAAAAAGGAACCATCCTTCTCAAGCTGATAATTTAACTGAATTGGGGCCGTAAGTATATTAGCGAAGTGGGCTCTACTGAGCAAATCTCCAACAGCCACTATTCAAATCAGGTCACGCTGCCAGATCAATAACCAAATTTCCATTTCAGGCCCCTCTACTTCATAAAAATTCAAAAGCAAATACCAGAAGTATGAGCTGAAGCTTCCCACATGCTTGGGCAGGGGGGAGGGGAGAGTGGGCTGGAAAGGAAAGTGTCATATTTAGTTCCAACTGCATGGGGCTTTGTAATGCTTCCTTTCACTTAGCCTGGTGAATATGCCTCTTGCTTGGGTATATACGCCATAAACATTTCACCGCTCTTGATTAATCAATTGTGGGGGCGGAAAGCATACAACTTAATTTGAATTATTTTTACACCTTTTTGAAGACTTTATAGGTGACCAAATAGTGCAACTACCTCAAAATAAGAAAAATGTGGTTTGTGTAATTAAATCTCTACAGTAGTTCCTCTAAGATAGTTCCTCTTACAAGGGATTAAAATGAAGAAAGCTTCACCTAGATCAGGGGTCTCATTGGCCCCTGGGCCATATGAGGCCCACAGAGCCTTCCAATTGTGGAGCTCTGTGAGCCCGAGTCAGGAAATTTGGCAGCAGGGGAGCAGTGGCAGTTAATACTGCTCCTCCCTGCTGCCAAAGTCCTAAGCCCAACACAGCAAGTCAGAGCTTGGCCACAACCCTCCCCCTGCATAGCTATATCAGGACTGATCCAAGCCACCTTTCCCTGCATGGCTGCATTGGGGCCAGGCTGCCCTACCTTCTCCCTGCAGGGCCAGGCCATGCCCCCACAACCCTGGATGGCTGATTGGGGACCAGGCCGTGTCCCCTTCTACCCCCACAGGGGTGGGGCATGGTAGCCTAGCTTTGCCTAGCCAGGCTGGGGCTGGGCCACGCCTCCTTCCTCCTTCAGGGTTGGGCCACGCCCCTCCCCCAACTGGCTGGATCAAGGCCAGGCCATGCCCCCCTGCTGGTTTGGATTGGGGCCAGCCCAGTTTCCCTTTCCCCATGTAGCTGGATCAGGGCCACGCTGTGCCCCCCAGACCCCCTCCGCACAGCCAGGTGGGACCCCACTGCGCATACCCTGAACACCAGATTGGATTTACTGCCATATGGAGGCCTATGCAGCATGGACTATGGTAACAGGCTGTCTTGTTATAACCTGACCTCAGCTTGACCTATGATGTAAGCTAAGTATACACTGTAAACAGTGATTGAGGATAAGGCACTTTAAGGTAACACAGGGAACTGATAAAGGGATTCTTGTAAACAAATGTATTAAAGATTATTTCTCTGTAACATTTTTTTTGTTAAGATGCTTAAATAATTGTAAAAAAACAAACCAAAACAGCCTTGTCAAAGATGACCATAAACTAAGGTAAAGAAGAAAGACCAGTGTTGAACAGCATTCCACATAATGGGGAAGGAAAGGAGATAAGAAACCTTCCCTTTTACTTTCCCAAGGATATAAATCCTAACTGACACTGCCAGGCCTAAGGCCAGGGAAGACCGGGTTAGAGAGCTTCTGGAGGGGCTGGACGTATTCAAATCAGCAGGTCCAGATGCTCTCCACCCCAGGGTGCTGAGGGAATTAGCAGAGGTTATTGTGGGGCCCCTGGCACAGCTTTATGAGCACTCGTGGTGCTCTGGCCATCTGCCAGATGACTGGAAGAAAGCCAACATGGTCCTCATCTTCAAAAAAGGGAAGAGGGAGGACCCAGGCAACTATAGGCCCATTAGTCTTACTTCAATCCTGGGGAAACTCTGAGATCATCAAGGAGCACATCTGTGATGGTCCAGCAGTAGGGATGATGCTCAAGGGCAACCAGCACGGTTTCATTAGGGGCAGAGCCTGTCAGACCAACCTGATTGCCTTCTACGATCAGGTCACAAAAGCACTGGACGCAGGTATTGCGGTGGATGTAGTCTTTCTGGACTTCAGCAAGGCCTTTGACACTGTCTCCCACCCCATTCTCATCAAAAA